GTCTAGTTCGCGCGAATTGACGCGCAAATTACGCGAATTGAGCGTTTCGCGTGATACGCGCGAATGGTGCTTTTTGTGCATTTACGCGTTTGACGCGAGTCATTGGCCTTCTCTGACCCAGTGTCCCTAAATGCAGTGCCTCTAAATGTTGATTTAGTGCATTAAGCACGGGTTGATTCATTTCCCTCTCTGGCTGAATCTCCCTCTCTGGCTGAATGTCTGGCTCCGGTTCTGTCTCTGAAACGGAGCCTTCTCGGCGCTCGCGCCGCCCTGACAGGAACAGGTGTCACATTCCTTATGCTGCGTTCACACCAAACGCGAATAGAGCGTCTGGCGCGAATGATTTCAATTTTAAGTCAATGTAAAGATGCGTTTACGCGCGTCTGGAGGTCTCGCGGCGCGAATGAGGCGTTTAACGCGGCGCGGAAGATGCGAATTCGCCTCATTCGCGCGTCTAGTTCGCGCGAATTGACGCGCAAATTACGCGAATTGAGCGTTTCGCGTGATACGCGCATTACGCGCGAATGGTGCTTTTTGTGCATTTACGCGTTTGACGCGAATTCGCGTCTGTATTAACATATAGTATTGTCTTGACAGAGCCTACAGATAATGAAGAGACTGATCCTAGATCCCCTGCCGCTTCTCCTGTCTCCCCAGTCCCTGGTCCTTCACCCCCTGCTGCTGCACCCACAGGTGTGTGAAGGCAATAGTACAAACAATATTTGAACATGTTACGTGCAGAAAACATCAGTACAGTATCCACTCATAGCTTTAACATTCACATAAAGGCAAAACAATTTGTGAATTAGTCCCTTTACTAATAATCATTGTATTTGTAAATGCAGACTCAATTCTATTGCAATGTATGCCACCAATCATCTGCATACATACTTTTTAATTAATTATCAATGCTTTAGGACAGTCAGTTTGATCTGTTTTCCTTAGTAATGCATTCACTAGAGCTGCGCCCATTGTGACTTCATTAAACCCAAAATTCCCTCCTGAAATAATGGGCATAGCTACTGCGCGATATTTATTATCTCTGGCCAGCTTACATATATTGTCTATTAAAGTGTCCAATGTGAGAATCGCTGTTAGTTCTTCCGCTATGTCGCCGTTCTGACCCTTTTTATGGCCTATTGCATGTATTACAGGATTTTCATTTGGGCCTCCTTTTTCTGTAAAACTGCATCGCCTGTCCTAATTGGATTCTTTCTGCGCTCTAATATTCGATCTGACTCATCCTGAAACCTTTGCCCTGCGTGAATTTCGAAAGGCACCTGCCACCCCCTCTCAGTGCCGGAGTTCGGTGTTGGCCGCATTCACTGAACCACTTGCTTCTTCCTCTATTTCCAACCTCCCTTCCTTAAGGATAATTACATTTCTGCCTTTGCCGAAATATATCCTAAGCGGTTCTTCATTCTCTGATGAAAACTCATCATCCGGGCTTTCGGGATTTTCCCGCGGTGGAGCACTTGGATCTAGGGTGCTTCTATTCCCCTCTACGGGGAATAAAATTGGGAGCTAAGGATCCACGCTCGAATCCTTCCCCCATATCAACTTCTTCGAGGTCATCCCAACGTCTGGTGGGTATATTTCTGATTTCTGACCTGAATTCGTCAAACACTCTAACTTTGGGATATCCATCCCTTCCCCCTCTACTCGAATAGACAAAGGGTGGGATTTCCACTCCCTCACATATTCTGAAATTCACCACTGAAGCCATCATCCTTATCTCGTGCCACAGAATTTGACCAGAACCACATCTACACTGTGTGGGATTAATCCAGTCTAATCTTCCAGCTAGATCTTGAGC